TGACTCTTGAGTCTCCTAAGGCACCAGCGTCCACCCCTATACGTGCTACCGCTTCACTCCTTCCTGACCAGAAAGTACATCCTACGTGTTTTTTACTCGGTATTGCTTCTCTTCACCATCCAGGTGCTTTTTCAAATAAAAGTAAGTTCTCTTGCCTCTCAGCTTGGGGATGGTTTTTAAAGAGAGTTCCCTTGTCTCTCATCATGGATGTTTGTTATATTAGCGCAAATGCTCCAACGAACTATTGATAGTTGCACATCAAACGTAATTAAAAGCTTTTTTAGACTATCTACCTCTCAAAATATTTACGGAACCTTAATATACCAAAATAAAAAATTGTGTAACTTATGGAAAAAATGAAAAAACCTAAAACAAATACACATAGTTAAATTTGTCTCCATGAGACCTATAACTTTTGTTAAGTGAAAAAATTCGATTTCTATTTAAGAAAAGTGATCAATAGTAAATTCCTCGAAAATAACACCACCTGTAAGCAAATTGATATCTTGTGTCCTCTTCAAGGGGAAGAAACTTTTGAACGATACATTTTTATGTATAAAAGACGTAGGAAAAAAGATATTTTATGTGCACATTTAAAATAGATCACCCTATATATATTCATATAATGTCCCGATTTTAAAAGTAGTTAATATAACAAATATACAATAATTTTTTAATATAAAAACGGAGTTATATTAACAAGTAATTAATTTGTAAATCAAATCTTGTTATAATTCTCTCTAGGGTAAAGTGCATATTTCGGATCAGATTCTAATTCGGATCAGCAATGAAATCTCTGGCTGACTGTATTTATCATATGTGGATTTTTATCCCTATTGTCTATATAGCTATCCCTTATAGCTATAGACAATTCCTCCTCTTCTAAAAAGGAGATGTGAAGTTTATTGTTGCCGCTTTTCCACGATGCCGATTGGTTCTCTTGCTGCGCTTACTTCATTTGCAGCTGTCATTGTATATTTTGACAGTTGTGTATAATAGAGGGTTAATAGTGAAATGTTAAAAATAAATAGCGCGCGCGTAGCACGCGTCTGTAGTGTCTAGTAATGAAAAAAATCCACATATGACAGTCGTAATTTTATGTAAAGTATCATTAAAGGAAAGTTGGTATTGAATTTGGCGATGATCGGTAAAAGGGTTTTTTCTTTATAAAATTTTGAATTTTTTGAGAAATGTCCGTGGTTGTTCTAACTTCCGCCATTGTTCAGAATTACAACCCAATTTAAAAAAAAATCGGGATATCTGAAATTTTAAATTCTTTAAAAGAGTAGTACCCAATGACTTTTCCTGTTCAGATTTTCCTAATCAACTAAATATTAAAGTATTATATATGAAATCGGGACAGAAAAAACTGAGGAATATAGATAGATAATGGTACTTTATTTACCCCAAAGGGGTCTTAAAGGGCGTTTTCATAGGGACGTACCCAACCCTGTACACTCTCCTTCCAACACTTTATCTTATCCACACATATGGCGTTTTGAAGGGACATACCCAACCCTTTACAAATTTTGCTTAATCTACTTTTCGCCTGATGTACTCATACACGTTTCGTACGCCCTGTTATGTGCAAATAGAAATAGTATATATTAGAAATGTACTAATGTAGAGTATTTGAAGCCGGTTCACCGGAAAGAACAAATCGGTATTTAGGAAAAGAAGAATTTATTTCAACAAATTTAACAAAACGATAATGCGTCCGAACGTTTTCGCTTCACACAATGATCTACATAGAATTGCCGCTTTAGCTCTATTTTTGTCGAATAGTAATCTTACAATTCAAAATAACCTTTCTTTTATATTTATCTCTTGTCAAAAAATCATTGTAGATTTGTTGTAGCGCTTACAGATTTCAGCCCACGCAATTTCTTTATCCCGAAGCGTTAAAGAATCATTTTTTTTTACTTCAATTACATGCTTAAAATCTTTCAATATTTTTAAGAAAAAAATTTTTTTTCAACGTTACCTACTCGATCAATTGACTGTCTTTCTTACAATTAGATTTAGATCAACCTCCCCTCCCCCTCCACATACTCACACACATACATATGTTGGGCAATGGATTATTTTAAACGATAAAGAGTCAGTGGTCTAATTTACATCGATCTCTTGATACGCGTATTAAGTAATATATTTGAGCTGATCAGCCAATAATTAAACTAATTTACTAATTATTTACTATTTAATATGCGTATCAAGTAATCGATGTAAACTGGGCCAGTATGCTCGATAGATAGTTTTTATTACACTTATTGTTAGAGAAATCGCGATCAATGTTTTTGTCCGACCCTTTGCTGGCGTGTCGCACCCTCGAAATTCGCCTTTTCACGTGTCTCCACGGTTTATAAATCTTTAAGAACGCATCGAGGTACTGAAAACCGACGGCGTCTTTGTTCGACGAGCTCCGTTTATCCGTTACAAAATGTCTGAAATATGTTAAGAGTATGGTAAATTATTAAAGAATTACACACACACACACACACACACAAATAAATAATTCACTATTAGACTTGCGAGTGTGTTCAAAGAAACGATCAATACTGTTAACTTGATTTTGATTTTTATATAAATAAATAATTAATAATTAAAATTAATTAAATTGTAAAGGTAAAATGATTGACGTCTTACAATATTCTTATATAAGGAAGAAAAGTAAATCTCCTAAACCTCTTTAAATATTCGTAAAGCTAACGAGGCTGTCTCGTTATGTTTCAGCAATCATGGCACACTTCTTCTTCCTGGCTGCTTTCTTCTGGCTGAACACGATGTGCTTCAACATCTGGTGGACGTTTAGATGAGTCGTGATTTACTTCCCGTCATTGCTCTGTTTTCAGATACCGGTCAAAGAATTTCATTATGTAAATTTGTAAATTATGAGATTGATTTTGTGTAACCTGTATACTGCTTTAATCTCAGCGATTATGCGAACGATGTGAGCATAAATGAGGATACAATTGCATTTGTGATTTGTACGTCCTCTCGCGCGATCCAGTACTTTTTATAATTACGTATGGATGAATGGTCTTTAATTAGCCCCAACGTGCCGTAGGCAAGAAACGTACAGAATTTCCCTGAAATTTAGTTCAATTATTATAATCGTTCGCTTGCCTACGGACGATTTATCCGCATTGTATAATTATTTCGGACTGTAATGAGGCGACACGTTAATTATAATTTATTCCGCCATTGTCGCATATCGATATTTGTCGGAATAATTGGGTATTTTGTTATTTTATAATAAAAGAGACACTAGCTAAGGTCACACACACACGTAGCAGTCTTGCTATGTGTAGACCAAGTGGACCGACCTGGCACGAAAGCCAATTTAATTTAATTTCAAGACCGCTCAGGCGGCTCAAAAATCCGAACGCAGCCCGAAATAGAAAGAAAACAGCACCGCGCCACCGCGGTCTGGACCAAAGATGTTAGATTCAAGCCGCTTACAGCATACGCACACAAGCGAGCAGCCGTGTACGTGTGCGCTCGGCGTTTGGCCGTGATCGAAGTAACACTCATCTCTCAAGTTTCGGACACGATCGAGCTAACAAAGTCGTGTTCGCATATCACCACTCGGGTGTCGACAAAACGGCCGATCTCAGAAGGAACAGTCGTCATCCAAATTCCAGCATCCCAGGTAGCAAGCACTCGTCATTTTGACGTCAATATTTGGTCATAATTGGTCAGTAACGTCATTCGTCGATTAAGTGACGTATATTTAACGTCATGTTTTAATACGTCAAAAAGACTTTGTAAAATGACATTATATAGACGTTTAATTGACTACCCAGGTAGCAGACAGTCGTCATAATGACGTGATTCTTACGTCATTTTATGACGCATGTTACGTCATTTATTCCTAAAGTTTAACGTAAAAATGACATTTTTCACAGTATTTTTCACAGGAATATTCCTACATTTATAAAGTGTTTCTTAACTTTATGAACGACGTGGTGAATTTATGGTATAAGTGAATCTAGTTGCGTGTGTAATTATAGTTTTATGACAACTATTTCATGCAGTGTTATAACTATCAAAAAGATATCATTACAAGATTTTTGAACACTTTAAAGATGTACCTGTTATAGACAAGTACACAGTTAATAAGGAAGTATCAGGGTGAGAAGATCGTCACTGTCCACTGCCATGGATCATCGAATTCAAGCGACTCGGACGCGGCACTGTACTAGGATGGGTGACCGCCTTGAGAGCGGCTATACGCACATGGCATGTAACAAAACAGTTAAAAAAGCTTTTTTTTTTTTTTAAATAAAGAAAAAGAACATTTTTTTGTAAACGTTTATCAAGTAGACATTTTAAAATTTTAATTTCATAAAAAACATTTCTAGAAACCGGTATGTCGTACATTAGACCTATTTTTGCCGTCAATAAAACGTCAGAAAATGACGTCGTTGGGATGTGACTTAGGACCGTGAAAAATACGTCATTTTTACGTTAAACTTTAGGAATAAATGACGTAACATACGTCATAATATGACGTTAGAATCACGTCATTATGACGACTGTCTGCTACCTGGGATCCCATTACATGGGCATTGGAAAATCAGATAAATAATTTCCAGATAGTGTCGATTCTTGCTTTCAGATTTGCAGATCTTACACCATTTATTAGTTTAACAGGGGGAATTATTTTGTTACTAATTATATGGTGCTTAGTCATAATATTAATAATAATATTTTTCTCTCTTTTCTATCTCTATCATGGGCGTGATTTTCTCCCAAGATGTTAGCGTCGACTGCACATCAGACAGCTTTCGTAGACTCTTCCAGCAAGATGGACAACAAACAGAAGTCTAATAATGTAAATAAAAGTAAACATTTTTCGTTGCAGCTAGTGGTAGCAGTATTATTGACCCAAAACTCCCAAGCACCCCAAGCTTGACGACCAATTTCAAATTTAATGTCTCCTCCGAAAGATAGCCCAATTTCTCCGCACGAGCCCCACTCGTGCGGGGGGTGCAGTTTGGAATATAAAAATTCCTGTGATCAGGTAGACTCGAACCCGGTTCCTCGGGGTTACGAGTCTGGCGCTTTACCACAAGACTACACTGCCACACATGAGCAGGAAAAATCTTCTATCCTTGTAAGCATTCTGGCTGTAAACATTCTCGCCCAAGCATCCAACTACCCAGGGAAGGGACTGCCCAGATAGCACTGGACGTCCCGATGATTTTTTTTTGCTTTCAGATTTGCAGATTATTTTGCCTGTTTATTGTAATAACATGACGATTTTAAGGTTTATTTTAACTATAAACTGAGAACTATAAACAATTTGAGAACTACCTCAAACTTATGTAAATTTACTTCTTACAATTTATATGTATATAAAAGTTACCGAT